AAATATGTTCCAAGTAAAGATAATCTGGCTGATCCCATGACAAAACCACTGACTAAGCATAACCTGATAAGATTTTGTGGAACAATTTTCTTATGAAATTTGTTTTTGTGTGTATTTAAATTAAGAGTTTTGTTTATTTGAAACTAATATGTTATAAGTCATATGTGATGGATATTAGGTAAATGTAAAACTGTATAGTGTAGAATGTTGTATGAGTGACCAGGGCCCTGGGTAAATGTATTGAGTGTATGATCATATATATGTCTTTGTATTGTTTTGTAACATGTTGGACTTTCTTGTTATGGTAAATTTTTGAATAATGGGATAAGATGTTCCCAAAGGAAAATTTTCTTAAAACTTTCTGAATGAAATTGTGATATTTATTTATTCTTGTTTTGAATTTTGTAAAGATACTGGCATTCAGTTTTTATTTCAGGTCGGAGATGATGATGTGGGGGGCATTTGTTGGAAAATATAGCTTATTTTAAACCTTTTACTGCATCATCTCTCCTCCTTGAAATGTTTATTTAGTTTAGTTCTTATTTTAATGTAATATAGTAGTTACTTCTACTTCTTTTTCTTGCTGCCACTGTTTGCATTGAGAACGGACTGTTTCAACCTAATTAAGATGCAAAAACGAAAGTGATGTTACGTCATCTGAAAAGCCGATTCGTGCCGATAGCTGATTGGTTGCCATGAGATGACATCATTCCTACTTCTGCTATAAGTATCTCGCGTCGTTCTGGCTCAACCCTTCTAGTTCCTGCTTTCCTGGCACTTGAGTGAGTGGTTTCCAGCCCCTTCAGAAGGATACATGCAGTCCAGTGAATACAGTGCCTTGGTTCCGGTTTGCGGGATGGCTGTTCCTGAATAAAGTTCCTTGGTGCCTGTCCGCGGGATGATTGTTCTGGAATGAGTTCCCTGGTTCATATCCATAAGATGGCTGTTCTAGAATAAAGTTTCTTGGTTCCAGAGGCTACCATGTGAGTGACTGCCGTGGGCAGCATCCATGTTCTTCAATAAAGGCAGCATTTAAAACACGTGAGCGGCGATTCCTCGTGCAAACGGAGTTAGGCCGGTTTTAAGTGTTTTCAAGAACTTCATTTAAATTTTCAGGTGTTTTCTCAACCATTGATTATGGACTTATTGAATGTGTAGCCAGCTTCATTTTTAAGCCACATAATTACTGTTTAGGACTTTTTGTTTGTATTGAATGCCAGTGTTTTGGAGACCAGGTAAAAATATTATTTGATGAATGATGGTTATATTATATTTTTCCTAAGACTCTGATATTGTTGAAATTTATTTTCTGTGTTTTTATTCTTTATTATATTGTTAATAAATTGGTTAAGTTCAAAATCTTTTATTGTCTTCAATGTCTGCACAACATGATATCTCAGGGAGCTTTTATTGCTACTACTGCTAAATGTTTAATTTCTTTAAACTTTAAACTTTGCTTTAGCATCAAGTACATTTTACGAAAAATGCAGTAAAAAGGTAATTGCAGATTTATGCAAATTTTTTACCAAAATGTGCATTTATACACAGTAAAGCGGAGAAGACATTGGATTAAATTTTTACCAGTCATTCGCACATGCAAAGAAAAAATACGGAACATTTAGGTCAATTACTGTCAAATATTACGTTTTTGTACCGTAAAATATGGGAAATATCTACGGTAATTTCTATCAAATACAGTCAAAAGTCGTTAATTCGGACACCCATAATCCGGAATGATCTATAATACGGACCTCAAAGCTACAAACTTTCTGCGCATGCGTCGCGTCGACGCATGCATGTAAGACCTTTACGGCTGCGAATATGCGTGTGTGCATGCTCATAATACATTTGCGCAGGCGCGTTTAATGTATAACGGACGGTATAAGCTAAGCTAAAATTATCTAATTCAGTTAATGTTGCAGATTGTGTTGCTTCTTAATCTTCGAATTGGATCCGGCTTATTATTTTTTGCAGACTGTTAGAGCAATTTTTATAAAAGTAAGCTTGAACTTTCGTTTATGTCAAATAGAGTTTCCGATATATATTTACTAATATGTAAAGTATCTACAAAGCGAAAGTATGTTTAGAAGTCCATTAAACAAACAGTGGAATTGCTGCAAAAAATGGATAAAAGCATATCCTTTGTTTCTCAAATTATTCCGAAATCTGTTTATCAATTTCACGCTGCTCTGCGCCCCGGGCGGGGGGAAACGCCACGCCGCACAATGAACTGGAAGTTAATCTGTCAGCACTATCCTTATCTTCAGGGCAGATGTTTTTATTTTATTTGGCTTATAATTCCTTACTAAATGTAGTATTCCAACTCGATGTACTCCGTCTTTGATATGATTTAAATCAAATTCCTCATTATTATAATTCACTTCCGATAGTGAAGAAAGTGACACAGAGATTATTGAAAAAAATTTCAATTGACAAATTAGTCGGTATTCTCGACACAGCAATTGTAGGACTTGAACAGCGAAACTTTGTAACTGAATAAGAGATTATGTCTGTTTATAGACTTAAAGAGAAAGTATTATCACATAAAACGAAGCAACTTAAACAACTTACATTGAAAGAAATGTTTAATAAAGTAAACAAATAAATATCAAGTTTTTTTTTTTTTTGTAAAATTTGATACCCTTTAGATCATAATTGTTATTTATTTCATAAATTATGGTTTCATATTTTTTATTTTATAATTTCTGCATGCCATCTTACCAGATTTAAACTGATGATCTATAATCCGGAAAAATCGATAATCCGGAATCGCCGAAGTCCCGACAAATCCGGATTAACGACTTTTGACTGTATATACGTTTTTGTACCGTAAAATACAGGGAATATCTACCTTAATTTCTACCTAATATATACATTTATATACAGTAAAAAAATCGGGGAAATTTACGTTAATTTTTACTAAATATATATGCATACGTGAAGCAAAAAATTGAAGAGATTTACGTATCTGCAATAAATATATGTAAATTTTTACTATAAATATACGTTAATCCCTGAAATTTACGTATATTATACGTAAAAGCTGCGAATGAACAGCCGTCTCTCGCATAAATATACCTAAATTTTACGTAAAAGTTACATATAGTATAACATAAAAATATACGTAAATATCTAGTAATTGCCACTGGACACTTTTTATGATATTTTTTCGTTCAACTTGAACGTTTATTATATGAAAGGCCATTTGTAAACTGCACGTATTTTTCTCATGCTATTTACGAATGCGTGCTGCCTGGGATTATTCTCAGCTTTTGCAGTGTTACTTTAGGAAGGAGTGAGTGTACAGGAGAAGTAAGTATATAAATAAATAATCTGGAAGTATAACAGTTAATGCACAAAATTAATCTAAAGTATAATTCAAGCAATGTTCTAAATAACATTTTAGAAGTCCATTGCTCTATATTTCTGAGTTAATAAAATTGCTTTTAGGTACTATTATGATAATATAAAAATTTATTAACATTTAAAAAGAAAATATTTAAGAGCATAAAAAAATTCAATCAATTCACATTAATGGGTAGTTACATTAATGTTGAAGCCCATTATGTGCAACACAGTCTCTAAACAGGCTGGGAGGAACTCAGCAAAGTGCGGGAAAGTATTTACAGGAATATGAAACTATGATTATTGCAGTGCAGTTGACAGCTGCTAGAGGGTGTGTGGTAGATGAGCCATTGAGTGAAAAATCTGACAGAGATGATCCCATAAAGTCTTGACTAGGCATAAAACTAGGAAATTCAGGAGCCAGAGAAATACAGTAAAGTTTTCCTCATGCCCTTCTAACCACTCACATACCTTTCTAACTCTGTGGACATGTCACACTGTCTTTCTAGAAGATGCTATTATTCCCAGGGAAAAAAAAAAAAATCTGCACATATGGATGTAGGTGATCTGCAAGGATCAATGCATATTTAATGCATTCCCATATGACCAGAGTTTACATTACATATGATGAAAAAGTTTACAATGAAATGAATTTAAGACAGTCCCCCCCCCACAATCTCTGATGAGGATATATACAATGTTTGGAGACATTATATTAAGTAAGCACTGCATCTACAATTTTACAGAAGCACTTTATTATTACTCAAAGATTGCTGAATACTTTTATATCAGTGGTGGTTTTTTGACACAAAAATGAAATAATAATTCATTTTTAGAAAATTTTTTGAGGGAAGAGGGGGCGATCAAGTATCTTAAATATGCATAAATAAATAAGCATAATCCACCTTGGCAAAGACAAATGCCATAAACATTTTCTTGTATCAAAAGGATCTCGGCTGAAGTAAAAACGTTCACACAACAGTGTCTGATGTTAGACTTTGTTTTAATTTAGTCACCTGCAGTATTATGTTCAGCGACAGCTTTAGATGAATGGTATTCCCTGAGAAAATAACTACTGCTGCAGTTTATATTAACAGAGAAAACTTCTAAACTTTTGAAATGATATTTTGCATTTATGTTTATATGATGAAATACAAGAATCTGCATATGTGATTTGCAATTACATTTTAATTATTTCAAAAAACATCAAATTATTTTTAAAATTATGCACTCCAATACTTTCAATACATAGTTTATATAATTTTCTTAACATTTAGATTCAGATGTTAATTTTTCATACAAAATGAAATTTATTAGTTCACATTTAATACATTTAAAAACAGGCCATTTGGAGGGGGCTTATCTGAGATAATTAGAGAAAAAACTACCGCTGAAGATGGCCCCAAACACTCGTCTTATAACAAAGTAACAATTAACAAATTATTAAAAATATATTTTATTAAAAACGTTTTTTAAAAGCAAAATATATAATAACAAAGAAATCAAATTTAAAACCAAATACAATTTAAAGACAAGGAAATAAAATTTTTGTAATCTTGTTATCCTTCCTAATCATGAAAAATGAATGTCTCATTCATCATTTGTAATTTACATTATTATAAAATAAATAAAAAAGTCAGAAAAAAACATTTTACCTGTTAAAAGCTCCATTAACTTAAATATGTAATGACGAAACGTACTGACATTGTGGATTTTGATCAGATGAATAAGAGACAAAAATAATTCTTCACATTCTTGGTGAACAAGTGATGCACACTGCTGGCTCAAAACTCGTAAAATCCACATCATAAGCCATTCCGTGAAACCTGCAAAAGTAAATTTACTTCAGATGCTTATAACATATGCAGGAAAAAAAAAAAAAAAAAGATGTAACTGTGGGTTATTCAGTATTCGCAGCTATTATAAACAACAAGATAATAATCTTAGTGTCAGCTGTTGCAGAGTAACTGTGGAAGTACTGGCTGACCTTTCTTGTTTCTGTTGACTACTGCCTGCAACATAGCTATAATGCAGTAAGAAGTGTTCTTCAACAATGAACTGTAATTCACCGCATGAGTTTTAAATCATCACTTCTTAGCTTCTAATGCAATATCTAAACCACTGCAGCATCAAAATCTGGGAGCAAATAACTTCTTATTCATCTCCTTAACTTAGATTAAATGTCTAAGTTAATGATATGGTGGCAAAAGGAAAGCATAGCTGCTAACCTTTATATATGAAATATTCAGAGATTCTTACCAAGAGTTTCCAGAGGTCTTCACACTGCACCGTGGTGCAATTTCAAAAGAACTTTACTGACTTGAATTAAATTTATAATACATGCTTCAGATTATTGGCATTACGATTCTGATGCAAAACATATTAATATTTAACAAAAATTTCATATTATTTGGATAATCTCATTTTGTAATTTTCTTACATTTTTTAACTGAGAAAATCTCGAGTATAAAAGGAAGCTTTTATTTATCAGAACATAACTAGTGAACAATGAACTATTATGAGAATAGATTAGATTAAACATTAGACGAGTCTTCAAAAAAGTTAATAGATTAAGACAATTCAAATCAAATAAAATTTTATATGAAAAATTAAGCTGAAAAATCACTAGAAGGGGGGGGGGGAAGAAATTTCACAATTTCGTTATCATTTATTCAATAAATTCTGCTTATTGGTGAGTAATATTTTCCTTAGTAAAGGCTATAAATCAAAAACCAAGACAGTTTGCAGCTATGGGAAGACAAATATTTATTTGCAAGATATCATTATTGGTGCTTACTGTAGTATCCTACTCCAACTAGCCTTAAGTACTAACTAATATAAATAAAGTATTGTAGGTAATTTGGATACCATTCTGTTATGATGCCAGATTCAGAAATTTATGTAATGTGTGCATTATGCATGCATGTATGTACATACCTATGCATGCATATTTGTGTATACACACCCACATATAACTGCATTTCTGAATCAGGTCCCGATAACAAAAAAGTATAAAAATTTGTGAAAGTACATTATATTCATTATCAAAATAAATATACACTATCCTAAAATGTAACAATAATTGCAAAAATATATGTTACAGAATATTTAATCTGCTCACATTAAAACTTGTCTTCAGTAAACGTGCTTTAATTCTCCTACCCACCTCTTTATTAGCAGTATCTTAATTAAAATAAAATAATCACTACATCTAATTATATGCTAATTCTATTTACTTTATTTTATAACGTAATAAATAGTATGCATGTTACTGAAAACAGTAGTGTGACTTCTTAAAGCTTAATTCTTTACATACTAAAACTCCCGTACAGTCTACTGTATCATCCAAGACTTTATGTCAGGTTGCCGCCATAATTCTTTTCTCATTCTCATTAACAAAAAATTTGAAGCTTTCAGAGAACATGATTTGTCTAACTCCCAATGGTTAAATAGAAAGTCCCCCAAAAGGTTTCATTTATTTTAATTACGGCAAAGCACATTAGGGCTATCTGCCTAAGGGAAGGGATACCTTCGTGAGAGACTTTCTAAGGGAAACTGGCTCGTATATATGTTACACATGGGGAAAACCACGAAAACGCCCATGCAGCCAGCCCGTTCACGGGATTCAAACCTCGGACGGAACTACCAGTGTTCAGCGACTTTACCGCTCGGCCCCTCGTGGGCCCACCAAAAGGACCCCTTTCCTTAGACAGACAGCTCTCAGGCACTCTGCCATATTCATATAGCCTAACAGTAAAGAAAATTATGCGCTTTTGTAAACTGACCTGATCAATGAATTAACAAATAAATAAAACTTATAAACAGGCAGTGCTGTTTACTGAAAAGGTATTTCTCTTTTCTAGATCTCATGCGGACAAAGAGGTAATTATGAAATGCAGGCCTTTTTTTTACTCCTAAAGTTTAAAGTTTAATGCTTGGAGGAATTGCAATCTCTTAAAGATTTGTATCCTTTAGAAGGAGAGATAAGATGCTCCAGCAACCTAGGGTGGTTGCCCATCAGGCTAGTCATAGGTATTTCCATGGCAAGCCATCACAGGTAATACAGAGTTGTGAAGAGGTTAAGTATTAATTCAGAAGTCAAACAACAGAAATCAGCGTTATATTTTCAAAATTTTTGCAGGACTAGTTTCGATGGTTTTACCAAACCACCATCCTCAGCTGCAAAACCGCAAATGAACAAGATAGGAAATAATGATTAGATAAGATAAGAAAGCCTGGACAAGAATAAGCAAGTGGCGCCATCTGTTGGTTAAACCAGAACTAAAACATAATTTCTTTAAAGGCCGAAGGCAAATTTGGATTGGAATTAGGATCGTTAACTAGAACAGAAAGATTTTTATGAATGTGAAATGCCTCTAGAAAATCCAGTTCTCCAATGGAAGATGTTTTTTGAATAATTTTGGCAGCAGAAAAATTGAAAGTGTGATTTTCAGACACAGGAAACACAGAAGTCTTCTGTTGCTCAACATTGTTGAGCAACAGAAGACTTCTGTGTTTCCTTTTTTCTAACATATGCCTCATGTTCCTTGATGCGAAATTTTAAGGCTCTCTTAGTTTGGCCAATGTAAATTAACCCACACTGGCAAGGAATCCTATAAATACCCCAGGAATTCATATCCGGAATGGGGTCCTTGAGTATGGAACTTGGAATTTTATTGATGGAAGAATAAACAACCCGAAAGTTAAATTTCTAAAAAATATGTGCAACTTTATAGCTAATTGATGGAAAGAAGGGAATGACAACAGAATTTTTATAATCTCCTAAAACAAGAGTGTGCCTTATAGTGTGATGAGATGAGAATTTTTTAACTGCTTGATTAATAATGTTGGGTGAAAAGCCCCTGTCAATAGCTATTGCTTTTAAATAATTTAGTTCTTCATCAAGGGCTAGTTTGGAGACAAACTTGAAGAGCACGGAAAACATAGGAATAAAATGAAGCTAACTTTTGTTTAGTCGAATGACATGATTTAAAGTGTTGTGGAAGGCAAACCGATGAAGGTTTACGGTAAACCGTAGTACTGAAGTTGGATGTGTTAAGTGTGACCAGAATGTCAAGAAACGGAAGAGAATTGCAAGTTCAAAAGTGAACTGAATAGCAGGATCAATAGAATTCATTGTTGAAAGAACTTTATCTAAATCATCTTTATTACCTTCAAACAGAGTAAAAGTATCGTCTATGTAGCGGAACCATGCCGGGAAGTTTAAAGTTTCAAACAATTTTGATTCCTAATAATGCATGTAGATATCAGCCATGATGGGACTGAGGGGGCTTCCCATGGCTAATCCCTCAGTTTGCTTGTAATATTTATTTTTGGAAAACAAAATGTGTTTGTTTCAAACAGAGTTGAGTGAGAGAAATTAGCTCATCAATTTCGATGCAAGAGAAATGAAATTCGTGAAGTCTGGTTTCTAGGCATCTATCTTAATGCACTTTAATAATTCTAGACATCTTAATACACAATAACTATCTTAATTTCTAGACATATTATGTTTCAGGGTTCATACACATTTCTGCTCACAAAAATTAAGTACTTTTAAGGACCATTAATGAAAAAAATTACGGACCTATGAGCAAATGGAAACTGAATTAATTCAATTAAAAATATTATCCATGCTTGAATTTCACTTTTGTAATACCATCCTAAAAATGAAATACATCCCTAAGTAGTATGCATTATTACTAAACACGAATTAATTAACATAATTATTAATAAGTTGGAGAATAAAATAAACTTTATGCAATTTATCAAGTAGCATTAAATATTTTACACTTATAATAGTTGGACATATTTGAAAGAAATAAGTGACATTTACATTTTACTAAGAGTTAGCTTTATGATGATTTTTTTTTTTTATGCCTCATTTTGTCAAATACTTGGTCAGTATAGAGGTTTAGTAAATAGCAGGTAGATTTTATATCTATCAACATAGGTTAAAATGAGAAGTAAGATCATAATCAGCATGATTCTTAACAAAAGGCTGAATGTTGTCACCACTGCTGCTTGTCTAGAAAGAGACCTGCTGATTAGAACGAAGCTGAAAGACCTGACATAGGCACGGTTGACAAGTGTTGACAGTTAGTCAGGCTCTGTTTGATGCAGTTAGTGTCGTAGCTTCGTGTAGAGTTCCAGAGACTGTAACCCAGTTGATATACTTTAAGGTTCCAATAAGCCATTAAAGCACCAGAGGTGATAAACTGTTTTGTATTATTTTAAGTCTCACTAGATGCAAAGAATAAATTTTACTTGAATTTTAAATTTTTTTTTATTTTATCTTGTGGTCACAGTGAGTATTAATGAAAGGCAATAACTCACTTTAATATGTAAGGATAATTTTAAGGGTAAGCAGTTAGTTATAAATAATTAAATTAGGTAGTTTGATAACCTTAGTATTATGGATATTAGGATAATTACACTTTAAAAGCTACAAAACATTTATGTCTTCTAACAACAACACTCAAAAAAATATTTATCCGTTAGTTTGATTTGAAGCCTTCTCAAACATTTTGGCTACTTTATATCGATTTCCTTCTCTTTAAGCATCTTTTCTAACAATTAAAAGATTTGTCACTATGCAAACCAATGTTCTCGCTAGTTTCTGCGTGCTTTATGTCTTAACTTGTCAACCTCTCCACAATGTACCTATGAGGGTTTACTTGATCTGGTAAAAGTTAAATAGTCCGAAACCTCTGACAGACGTGAAGCATATTATCGCTATGTCTGAAAGTATTTACAATATCAGACAAAAGTTTAAATAAGCTTCTTATTTAAAAAAGAACTTAGAACATAAAGGCATTTTCTGATG